GCATGAAGTGAAAGTGGCTCTGATGCACTTCAGCATAAATGTCTTCATCTTCACAATTCTTCTTTTTATACTTTCTTCTATACCTGCCTGGTTTAGTTTGCATTTGCCTGTCTCCATCAGTTTGCCCATCCTTTATAGCTGATAAGAATAATAATGATACTTCACAGAAGAATCTGAAGCCTCATTTAGAACAGTTGCCCTTCAGACAAATATTTAATGAAGAAAAGTTGTAAAGTATAGAAATAGAGTGTAGGGAAATGAATGCTGCTGATAAAATGTTCTTCTACGTGATGTGAATAAAGAAGATAAAATGTCATCTCTTCATAGTGTTTTAGTAGGGTTATGGTGAGAATATGATTCTTGTTTCTGAAGCGGCCTAACATGCTGAGAAACATAAATGAAAGGAAGAGCTTCTCTTTCCTTCCCTACAGCTCTAAATAACCTGTTTCTAGAACATTTTATCAGTGCCTTTTTAAATACAGATCTTTCTCCCTGTAGTTTGGAAACTTATTAGCGTTACCTCTGAGATGACGACACCAAAATAGAAACTTTCCTTACCAACAAACATGCAGGGGGCCTGCTCTCATTCTTTCTCTAGTTGCTTTACATTACCTCTCCTTTCCAATAATTGTTTTCTGTCATTATTTGTCACATTTGTTTCTCACAGACAATCTATATTAAGGCTCAAGAAAGTGTAAAGAAAATGTTTAACATTGCATAAAGTCATATCGACTTTACAATATAAAGACAGAATGATTCATACATTAGGTGCTCACAGGAGAAAAGACGGACTGTTTAAATTGAGTGGGCGGTTACTGGATATAAATGAAGGAATATGTGGAGCCAAACACATAATGATAAAGTACACATGCATGTTTGTGCCAAACTATAATGCTCCACTTTAAGTACTGAGAGACTTGAAACATAGTTTCAAAACAGAGCTGTCAAAATACTATAATTAGCGGCTGCTGAAATATTTCGTGGTGGGTTGTATTGTACAGCTATAATCGGCTTCCATAAATAGCACAAAGTCATGATAAACATAAAATTCTGTTGCTATTTTGAACCTTTGGAAACAACGTCAACCCCCTGCAGCCACTCGCTGATTGTTGCGCTCGCAGCAACACAATCTGCAAAACATGTGAACATCTCAAATTATCTGCTGCCTCGCACGCAAAAGCTTTTTATTTGCATGACTCTCTCTCTCTCTCTCTCTCTCTCTCTCTCTTCTCTCTTCTCTAGATATATATATATATATATCTAGAGAGAGAGGCAAACTGAATCCTCCTCAGGTTGACATTTTCACAGGGTTATTATTAGACCTTGTGGAATTTGCTTTAACAGTTTACATTACTGAAACACCAAGCAGGGTTTGAATAGTTTATCAACATTTCACAATGTGGTGTCATAATCTGTCCTGCTATGTAGGACAATGCAGACAAATAGTATTTAGAGAGATATGTCATACATAAAAAAGGAATCTAAATGAGTGTAAAAAAAGTACTTTAGTGTCCTTTGCAAATTAATAACACATTGTACAAAGCATGCTTGGTAAAATGTTTATTGTTATTTATGGAGTTATACTACAAAATTATAATCCACCTAACGAACTGAACTCAAATGGTGGGTTGGGACCCAAAAGTGGGACGCAAAGCTGTTTACAGTGGGTTGTGAAAATGTCACCGAAAAAAAAAAAAAGGGTCTAGGAATCTATGAAGCGCTCTGAAAACATGTTGGTTTTGTTCATTCTCCTTGTTCTGTCGCATGTTTTGTACCATCTGAGGTCCAAGCTGCACTATTTTTCATTTGATAAATATGATTGGTTGAAAAAAATATCAAAAATTTGGGTCACAGTTTTCATGAAGGAGTTAGTGGTGTGTCCTTAGGCTAGACCAATTGAGAACCACTGCATTAACTCATATAACTCATATTAGAGTTAAAGCTTCTGCTAAATGAATTGTAGAATTGTAGAGTATAGTTTGGTTGACCAAATGCAAACATCACTAAATGTAAGTGTTTTTCACGTCTTTGTCTTCCTTGTCTAATTTCTTATTTCCATGAAAATGTTCCACAGTGAATCATAATTTCAACATAAATTGTTAAACTATAAACAAACAAAAGCTGACTTAGCTTTAACAAGCTGAGACTGAAATAAAGATCAACATAATGAGTGAAACTTGAGAGAAACTTAAGAGAAATGCAGAGAAATCAAACAGCCTTTAGTTTTATGTCAAAGTCATGTTGTCAGCCAAAATAAAAAATGACTGTAAGACTTTTCTTCCCTTCACAAATACCTCTGTAGAGAGGAAACATATTCTAAAAGTCTACTCTGAGCTTCATGTTTCGGAAGTTTCTGTTCAACACAAGCATGGCTGTCTGCAGCTGTAGTTCTCCAATCGTTGAGCTGTACACTGAGCTGTAAAGGAGTTGTTATGCAATAACTGACAAAGTTAGCCATGGAGTGCCACAAGGTTCAGTGCTTGGACCGATTCTCTTTACATTATATATGCTTCCTCTGGGTAATATTATGAGGAAACAGCTTTACGTACCAATGAAGCCCGATTGACACCAGTCAGTTATGTAAACTAGAAATGTGCCTTAAGGGACGTTAGGACCCGGATGACCAGAATTTTTTTGCTATTTAACTCAGACAAGACTGAAGTTATAGTACTAGGCCCTAAAAACCTCAGAGACTCTCTGTATATACAGTACATCGTATTACTGCATGTATCTATCTGTAAATCTCAGTCACTAACCACCTATTTTCCTGGGAGCTCTTGAGCTCTTAGGCTCTTCGAGATTATTGGTTGATGGCCAAATTGATTGATTGATTGAAATCTATTCATGCATTTTATTAATTTGGCATCCTAGAACTACACTGCAATCAGGCTGTTTTAGTCACTCAGGTCTGACTGCATGCTTCAGTGTTCCTCACTCCAACGTATACCAACAAGTGACACCTCAAAGTTGTCTGCAGAAAGCCAGCACACCACAATGCTCATATATCTCACGACACTGACGCGGACCAGAGAGTCAGAGAAAAGTTGAGACAACAGTCGTTCAAATGATTTATGACCTTGTGTCACTGACTGAGGTATCGCTTATTATATAGCCACATAAACTCAGAGTCAGGCTTTATTAAATCTATTGTTCATTGTTAGTATGCATGACAGGCCTTTGAGCTTTCATGTATACAATATACTGTCTATCTTAATCCTGTGTCTTTACAGATGTTTCAGTAAATCAAATGAATTAAAAACCACACACTAAAAATATAAATGTAAACTCAACCAAATCAACATTGTGGAGCTGAAACCAATAGATTTATCAGGACTCCATATATAATTTATTTAAAGCCTTTTTTTTTTTTTTTTTTTTTTTTTTTAAACTCAAGTGCTCTCATTTATCTTTCTACTATAGAAATAATGCAGTTCTAAATTAATTCATAGCACTTGTGTCTTTGTCTCTTTCAAATAGTCATCAATGAGTAAATTGATTTAAGTATAGCGACACTTTGCGCTGGATTAACTTAATCAAGATTTAAGTAACAAAAACAAATGGTAATAACTTTTTTAAACTATTATTAGTCTCTGGTAACAAATTTTAAAACGTTAATTTTTTTTTTTTTTTTTTTCCATCTCGGCCAAATATGAGACACAAACATTGCTCCTTTGCTCTACCTGTATAGCTCCTGATGTGTATTCACACACACACACACACACACACACACACACACACACACACACACACACACACACACACACACACTATGTGGCCTCACAAGCTGCTACATGCACTAACCCGAATGAATACATGCCACTTGAGCTCCTGTCATTGTGTGGTTAGCTTACAGGAATCCATCCCTGACATGCCACCTTTCAAAATAGTGACTTCACCCTGGATTGGGTGTCACAGACGGCACAAACAGATCATTACCTGAAGATCAAAACATTCTCACAGCAGCACAAACATGTGTAACCTAAATGAAGGAGCAGATCGAGAAGCACTATGCACAAACAATAATGTTTCTCGTCACAGTGAAAAATAAATATCAGCAACAGTGTGATGTCATCGTCAGTTTCCAGGTTTATGAGGATGTTCTTTTTTTTTCCATTTGTCTATCTGATGATGATGTTGAATAAGCAGTGAAAACAGTGATTTGGTTTGATAACAGGAAGTAAAAGGACCAATTATGTAAAGATGGGTTGTTGAGTTCAATATAACTGTCAGGTGAACCTGAGTGGGAGGAGAATGGGGAGCTGCACTAAAGGAACATGAAATGCAAAGTTCAGAAGTATCTTTAGTGGGTCTCACCTGTCTTCTTTGTTGCCATGGTTTCCTCTGAATCACATCAAAAAACTAACTACAACTTTCCCAGAGTATTTCAAAACTTCAGTGTTTTCAGTCAAAAAGGAGAATGAATCACAATGAGTACTCTTCTAGAGGTGACACCACTCTGTTCGCACTGACAGGAAGCATCAACTGTTTGTTGAGAGAGAAACGAAATACACCAGGTTTCTATGGGGGCTGTAAAGTTGGCACAGGGTGCATCTTACCTTTTATCTGTTTAAATTTTACACTCCCAAGGGTGGAGCTGTTTTTTGTGTTATTAAGATGCAGATGTTTTTTTATAGGAAGTGAAAGTTCAGGCTGCAGCAACTAATACCGACGTACTGTATACATGCAGGCACCGCAGCTTTACACACATAGGAAACATGCGCCGCCTGGTTGTCTGAGGTAAAACAGTCCCAAGGTGTGTGCCAGATCACCTTTCACAGGTGAGACAAGTAATAAAACTGCTCTTAATTGTGTTTTCAGGAAACATCAACACTCAATTTGTGTAATATTATATTGCAGGAGCGATGAACGTTTTATGAGCATGGCTTTATTTATTATAATGACTTTAACGCACGCGATGTGTAGATGATTCTCCAAATCATTTGGAATCCGTTAACTCCTCCTTCCTGGGTAGGTCCTGAGGTGAGCCGGGTATAAACTCAGCTCACACACAGGTGTTGTTGAGAAAGGCTGCAGCACTCGGGCAGGTGTGATGGAGCAAACAGACTCCTTTGGATTTAAATCGTCTTGCCGCAGAGAAAGTCCGGAGTTCACGCACAGCCAAAAGGAGACAACAGCATGAAGTTAGAGGTGTTGTGCGGAAGCCACTACGACACGAAACATATGGAGATGTGCAGTTACGCAGAGGGGAGTGTGCGCTCTCCTATGTCCGCTGAGGAGGAGCTGGGGTCGGATGGGGACTGCGTGGTGCACAGCCCTCCTCCACCTGCAACTCCGTGCGCCGTCACCAAATCAAAGCCGTACATACGGAGACCCAAACCTCCATTCTCTTACATCGCTCTCATCGCCATGGCAATCCGGGACTCCCCCCCCGGACGTCTGACTCTGGCGGAAATAAACGAGTACCTGATGACAAAGTTCCCATTCTTCAGAGGCAGCTACACCGGCTGGAGGAACTCGGTTCGGCACAACTTGTCTCTAAACGACTGCTTTTTAAAGGTGCTTCGGGACCCGTCCAGACCTTGGGGGAAGGACAATTATTGGATGCTCAATCCTCAAAGCGAGTACACCTTCGCTGATGGGGTGTTCCGGCGCAGGAGAAAGCGCATAGATAAAAAGGAGAGTGCAGAGGAGCTTCAGATCGCTCAGCCGCTTGAGCCCGAACCCGCCACAAAGACTGATTCAAGTGTCAAGTTTACGAGTTCGTTTACTATAGAGAGCATCCTCAGCAGGCCGTTTAAGAGGGACTTAGGCAAAGATTCTTTACGGCTACACCATACCTACACCTGGCCAAGCTACACTGATCTTATGATGCCACATTCAAATACACCTGCTGCCTCTTTTGCATACGCCAAGTCACGCAGCCTCGTGGATTCCTTTGCTGCGCATGTGTCAAACCAGTATGACGCTGCGCTGCATACACAAACACTAAGTTATCAGAAATAAATCCGGGCTTTTTCTTTTCGATTTAAAATCATCAACGTGCACTGATGATGGACAGTGGAGGGAGGACATCATTATAATGGCAAGGTGTTACACTTTCTTATTATTGTACCTTTGATTTATCCAATCAAAGAACCATACAGATGTTTTATTCACACGTTTTTTTTTGTCAAGTTTCATTAAGCTGACTATTAACATTATTTACTTTGTTGTTTGTCTCAAAAAACGTTGTAAAATATGCACTTTGACTGTTTTTTTCATATCTCTCTCAAAAATATGCTCTTTACAAAGAATTACAAAATAAAACACTTCATGGTCTGCATGTTCTTTTGTTATTCTCTATATATTAATATATATATATATATATATATATTAAAAAGGAGCCAGTGGTCCTTGTGGAGTCAGGTAAGGTCTGACACCTGTTGGAGACATGTGCACCTGTCAGGTACCAACGCAGTAAAGATGTTATCAAGACAGCTCTGCAAGGGATCGAACTAACACAAGAGGCTGACAGTGTCCCTTTTCTATATGTCAAAGCCTTTTGTAAATAACTTCAAAAATGCGCCATTGTGTTGTTCAGCTATTAAGAATAAAATATGTTTCTTTAGATGATGAGGACGAAGAGGCTCATCTCTGGTTTCTACTACAAGAAAGAACAATGCCACGGTCAGGGCAGCAGTAGTGATAATAATAACTACAAATAATAATTAATAATGATAAAAATAAAAACAAATAATAATAATAAATATTAGTAAAAATAATACTACAGGTTCTAGAACGTATCATGGAAAAAGAAAGTTCCATCTAAGTGTTTACATTCCAGTGTCCATGATCCTCGTTGCCATAGTATTTGTTTTCTTGCTCTTCATGTAGATGTCGCCTCGGTCACCACACATGCGCAGGAAAGGCTTTGTACAAATGGTGTATCCTGAGCGAAGTCGACCCGAATCCACAATAGGAAGAAATGTCTTCCAAGTAGGCCCATTCTTCTGCGAGAAAGTAAATTTCCTTTAAACCAGCTGTGCTTCCTGCGCGCAGCGGGGTTACAGGTTTGATGTGTCTGATATCTCAGCTAGATTGTGTTTGAACTTTGCTGGTGCATGGGAAATTCTTCCATGTCACGTGCTTGCTTAGTGACTTGCTCTGTAACGCAACATACATGCGTAAAACTCCGTGCGTAAAGTACAGAAAGTGGCATTTACAGCTGGAAACGATGCAATTTAAAAGAAAATATTTAATCAACTGAATCTTACTTTGCCCTTATTTAGAGTTTAATCAAGTCTTTTCTCCGGGGATGAAATCCAGACTACCAGAGGTAAACTGATACTTGTGCGCTGTGTGTGGCACGTTGGCACGCTCAGATGGAAAAAAGCATGCTTCCTCTCATGTCAAAGTACTAATCCTGAACAGATCTCAAATGAACATAACAAGTTCCATTCTCCCTATACACCTTAATAAAACCAGGCACTAAGAGGACAAATGCGTTTTGTTTAATTTTTTCTTAATTTTGTCGGTTCCCTCCTAATCGTTCTGAAAGATTTCCTTATCCAATATTTGTGTGACAAACGCATTCCGAGGTGTTTTTGAAAGGGGGTCGTGGGAGGAGATTTGTCTTCCTCTGCTGCGCCGTGTCCGGCTTCTAGTCTGGCTCGTGGCCAGATGGGGAGGGAGTAGTTCCTGGCGATTTCTTGGAGGGATTTGGGGGGGGGGGGGAAGAGGGGCAGAAAGATTTAACAATTGATAGGTAGTCGGGTTGTGTTTGACCGGGTGGATATGCGCGAGCAAAGTCAAGGAGCTTACTTTCCCCTCTGTTATGGGGTTATTCCCAGCGATGGACACAGGGAGGAAGGAGGAACAGCGGCTGGTGTTTCTTGATTTTCACGCTCATAAACGTGCAGAGCATCGCAGAGGGACACTGGCCTTTGAATTGTAGCATAAGAGAACCGTTAATAAGGTTTGAATTAAAGGAATGGTTGGCTGCTCGTATGTTTATTGACGCAAGACAGTGAAGGGGACTAAATAGAGGCGCAACCATGACGACGGAGAGCTCCAAGCAACATTTGGATTCACCTTATCCTCTGAGCTCTAGTCCAGCAGCTGCTGCTGTGAACGCAGCGCTGCTGAACGCACAGCCAGGGATGGAGAGCGCGCAGGCTGCGTCCACTAAATGGAAAAAGGGAAACTCTGGCTTAAGGCGCCCTGAGAAGCCTCCTTACTCATACATCGCCCTTATTGTGATGGCAATCCAAAGTTCACCGAGCAAAAGACTAACTCTAAGTGAGATCTATCAGTTCCTGCAGGCCCGCTTCCCTTTCTTTAGGGGGTCCTACCAAGGCTGGAAAAACTCCGTCAGACACAACCTTTCCCTGAACGAGTGTTTTATTAAGCTGCCTAAAGGTCTCGGTAGACCTGGAAAGGGGCACTACTGGACCATAGATCCTGGTAGTGAGTTTATGTTTGAGGAGGGTTCTTTTCGCCGGAGACCTCGCGGGTTCAGAAGGAAATGTCAAGCTTTGAAACCAATGTACAGGATGATGAACGGTATAGGCTTTGGTGCGTCCATGCTGCCCCAGAACTTCGAGTTCCAGTCTCCACCAGGCTCATTAGCATGTCACAACAGCTACAACATAGACCTGATGGGTAATACAGTGCCAGGAGGCTATGAGGGACTCGGGGGAGGACATCACGTCCCCCACATGTCATCAGGCTCCGGGTCATCATACATGTCCGCGTGTCAAGGGGGCTCTAATGCTGACTATTGCCCAGACAGCAGCAGCAGCCCCCTGCAGACCCCTTTGGACTGTCAGGCTGCTTATGCAAATGCAGCATCACACTGGAGCTCACCTGTGTCTTCATACATCAAACAGCAGACTGTGGCATCCAGCTCTAACACTTCTTCTATGCACGCGGGCATGTCCTCTTACGCTCTGGAGCAAGGCTACCTGCACCACAACGCGCGAGACTCCTCTGAGATATCAGGTAAAGTCTCATTGTGAGCTTGATCTATATTTAAGGATGAGTCCTGTTTAAACACAAGAAATTACATTTGTGATGAATAGTTAACTGTGGTGATGACGTATCAGACAAAACACGAGTGGCTCCTTGCGTAAAACACTGAACTGTATTTATTTATTTCAGGCATCCATTGCAAGACGACTGTTAAGAGTTTAATGGTTGTGTTTTAAATAGTCAACTTGTATTGGATGAACAACATAGGAGCAATAATTAAGAGGTTGAACCCAGATGAGTACAAATTAAAAACTCATATTAAAGGGATGTAATTGATCAGATTGTAAACCTTTTCTTCTTGTCGTGAATCATCAGATTGTGTAATCAGTGCATTTTAACATCTGCAACATTTAGCCTCCTGTGTCTTGAATTTCTCATTGCATTGCATCTTACAGCAGGCTTTTTGTAGAGTCCTTCTTAAAAAATAATAGAAGAAATGTTAAATTAAAGGAAGCTTCATACAACAGCAGGACCTTCTTTATAATCAGCTGTAAATTCGTGCTTTTCAACTTGAAGCCTTTAAATGATTTATGTTTTTGGTGGATTTTCCACCATCAAGTTTTAATTGAAACAAAGTTGCCAAGTTAAGCCTGTTTTTTTTTTGTTTTTTTTAGCATGAAGAATATTTTATTTTATTTTTTAAAGATTTGTAGTGAATCATGTATATCTAGACTTTAGATAGGCTGAACCAATCTTTATCTTTAAAATGTCTCCACAATTTATTTGAGCAAGTCTTTGATTAAGTAAACAAAAATAAATAAATAGAATTTGTATGCATACTGTTTATTTACACATGTATTTATAGACTTGTTTTACAATGAGGAAGTAATACATCTTGTTACCAACTTTGCAATATTGCTAGACACAAAAAATATGAACAGTAATATACATATTTCCTTGCAACCTGGCAACCCAACTCATAAGTTCCTATCCCATAATTTTGATAGAAACTGATTACTGAAATATTGTTGTATTGTTTTCAAAGATCCATGAGAACTAGAAACAATTCAAATGTAGAATGGTACTGAACGGTACCAACACATATTTTAAACTGACAACGCGTAGGCGTTCGAGCCTGTTTTCCATTGGGAGGCCTCTATGAGCAGATGACTGACGTGATGGTTTGACCTGCCGTGTCCTGTTTATTTTTCAGTGGGTCTGTCTCGGTATTCCGGTCACTCTGCTCCTGTGTGTGACAGGAAGGACTTCGTTTTGAACCTCAACGGAATCTCTTCTCTCCATCCCTCCAGCAGCGGAGGATCTTACTATCATCAACTCCACCACCATCACCAGAGCGTCTATCAGGACGTAAAGCCGTGCGTCATGTGAATAAACAAAACCGCAACAAAAAAGAAGGAATTTGCATTTTTTAACCAACAAGTTGAGTTTCTGCAGAATTTTTGGTGATTTAATTTCCTTTCAAATCAGCTTGAAGACGGAAAACTTCCCACACAAAGACCTTTTATTTTAATCAAATAACTCTTAAATATCAGACATTGCTATCTTGGCACTAAATGCTTTCGTTTCATGATTGATTTTCTATGCAGGGAAGAGCAATGTCAACATTTTATAGGTGAAACGTTCCTGAATTCTCTTGTATTCATGCACTAACATTGGTTTTTATAAAAATTTTCAAATTATGCAGAATTCCTGCAGAAAGCCCTTTGAGAAAATTGTTAAGAAAATGAAAATCACAAGTGTTTATTGTCTCTCACAATAAAACAATCGTCTCTTTTCATCAGCACTGCAGCTCTGCTTTCTTTTTTCCAGATTATAATTATTATTATTATTATAATACAAATACAAGTCCTTCTTTAAAGAGAACATAACATGTCACGAACTTTCGTTATTTTTCCGCCTTCTTGTCCCTTTACAAATGTTTTGTTTAAATTGTCTAATTTATTAACGACATTTATTTTTGTATTTTTTACCAAAGATACAAAATTCGTTTCTTTCAAATGTGAAGAGTCAGAGACAGTGTCATGGCCTTGAGCGTCATAACGGAGTTCCTTTGGTTCAATGGACGCTGTCTATAATAAACATGACTTTTATTCTTATTTTACTTCCACTCTGAAATGACGCTTCACTGTCTTTCACCATCAGTTCAACGTTTGGATATGAATGTGGAAAAGGGTTCTGGTTTAGTTTTATTTTACACAGATCACTTTTTTTTTGATTAAAATAAACGTTACAAATATTTTAAATGGAGCCATCGGGAGGGAGGTATTTCTAAACTTATCCTCAGCCTCCTCAGTTTAACATTTAGGTTTACCATCTTACGTATAAATGATCACTACTAGACGAATTACCAGAGAGACAGAAGGAAATCAAAAAGTGTATTTACAAACGCTTTACGACTCTGGGATGGGAACTCTTCATGCTGTATGGTTTTGACGTGACTATACTGCCCCCTCGTGGAGATTCAGTGTTGTAGCTCCGTAATTCTATTGTACTGATGCCCCTGCTTCTTTGAAAACTACGCAACTCTTCTCTCTACTAAATCGATTAAAACGTAATGTCAAATAGTGAGTCAAACTAGAATACTGAATATAAATTCGTCAGATATTCACATTTGATGCATTGGATTTTTTTTTTTTTTTTTAAAAGAGTCTGATTCCAAATATAGTGCAGTCACCTACAAAACGCGACTATAGTATGCTCAACTCAACTGTTTTATTTAACAGGTGCAGACTAATCTGTTAAATATTTGAAAATTAAAGTGATTGAAGAAAGGCCTTTAAACACAGCGTTCTCAGATCACGTTTTTAATCGAGCTGTAATCTGCCTTTCACATCAAGACTTTTCAGTCTTGAATTGTAATCCAGAATCTGATCATTTTATTTGTTTACTATTGAGTTCAAGGCTGCGAGGTAAAGAAGACATTTGTGCAGTAACAGGGTTGCATGTTTATTTATAACAGCATACAAACATATAATGTCAGATCTCACAAATGAGACTGTTGGACAGATTCAAACAACCAGCCTGGTTTAAAAGTGAGAGCAGGCCGGTTTAATGAATGAATAAAAACCTCTATGTCTCTAGTGTATAGCCTATATAATATGTCTAATGGAACTGTGGAGGATCATTCATACATTTCCACTTGTCTGTGAGCCATCTCACATAATTAACATGTTTGTATGTACACTACATGAACAAAGAACAATAAATATGAATAGTAATTGTATTAAATGAAGCAAAGTCAGTGGTTTCAATTGTTACCCTGTGAATATTTGTGTTGCTGCATTGTGACTTCAGAAGTTAGTGTAAACATAAGCACAAATAAGCAAACATAATAAGCACTGGCTCAAATGTCTGTCATTAATATTTCTACGATCAAACATTAATTATAATTAAATTGAAAATGTAAACAACAGACAGAGATAATATTACACAAAACAAAAAAAGCATAAAGAAACACAGAATGGTCAAACACTTAATGACTCATCCGAAAGGGAGTGGGAGAGATGAATACATTGACATCAACAAAGACCCACTAGAATATTTCTTTAGTAAGATAATGATTCTTTCATGATGGCTTGAACACTAAATGTCTTCATTTCAATTGAACAAAGAATCAACTCAAAAGTCAAGAATGCTTTTCTCTGAATCTGGGACATTTTGCAATTAATCTGATTTATGTACAAAAAAGGGAGATTATATTTCCCTTTTTTTAATTCACCTTATAGGTAAATGTCTTTATATGTTCTTGTTTGTTTTGACACCTTTCTACTAATGGCTTTTCTTATTTGTACATGTTATTGTCCCTTATTTCAGTATGATACATTCATGATCTTCTCTCAGATCATTCTCAATGCTGATGAACAAACTTCATCACACAGAGAACGAGATAAAACATTCCAACAAGTCAAAACATGCAACATGACATAATACTGTAGACTTTATAGTGTGATGCTGACTTATATAGTCTAATATATGTCAAACTGAGGCACTGATGAAGGGGTGACAGAAAGTTGGATGAGAATGATTATTTTCCATTTCTTTCTGCACAAATATTGTCTATGTTAAATAATAATATTTAAACATTTCAAATATGTTTTATTCTGGCATTAAAAAAAACACTGGCTTTGAAGTGTAACACAACAGTGGCAACATACCATCTATTAATCTTAATGCTTTAGGGGCTCAACAAGAAAATGTATTTCTATTGTATCGTCTATAGTAAGTAATAACAAGAGGAAAAGTGCTACATTGCAGTGCAAAGAAAGCCACTAGCAGCCGCCAACACAGTCTTAATGTGTTTTTTTTTTTCCACACAAGTCTTGTGTCTGACCAATCAGAGTGAAGGATTTAGGGGACACTACAGGAGGAAGAGTTTGAAACTGCACACAAGTGTATCTCACACATACAATCACAAACTGACTAGTTTGTGTTCTCAATAGATATTTTTCCCAGAAGATTTCATAAAATAATACACTAACAGGTAAATGCAATTCAAATCTAAAGTAAGGCATCAGTAAACAAAAATGTATGAGTGAAACTTAATAAGTTTACTTAATGATTAAGAAGTATCAGCATAAAAAAGTGCTCCCATAAATAGTTTAAAAGTATAAATAAGTTTGAAGTTAGAAAGTTTTAGTATGAAATTATTTACAAACAATCAGTCCTCCTCATCTTTCAAGTCTTAAGTCAGAATAAGAATTGGAATCTGTTTTATTGGCCAAATATGAGAGCACATTCATGTGAATTTGACTAAACTTGACATGACTCATGTACAGAGAAACAAGTTGACACAGTACAGTTAAAACAAAGAAAAGTTAGACAAAGGAAGCACAGACACATAGTACTGAACTGTAAGAATAACAAACCGCTATGGATACAAACACTTACATGATCAATTTAGAAAACATAACACTTATAAGGACACTATAGTACAATGGAGAGTGTGAAGCTGCAGAGAAAAAAGACAGTTAGAGATGTGATTTCTATATAAAAGAGGTAGCTTGTGTAATATTAACATAACTACAGAGTCTGTGAGCTGGCCTTTGGTGTAGCAACAATGAAGTGATTGGTGGGGCCGAGCAGTGGTGCTTTAAGAAGTCAGTAGGCTTCTCTTTTCTCTTTTTTTTATATGTGGCCCATCTAGCAGAGGATAATCTGCCTCTGTTATAAACAGTGACGTGCAAGACTCCTTTTGTATATTTAGTGCTTGTGAGCCAGTCAGAGACAGAGTAAGGAGAGTCATCCCTTCACCATCATAGGATGGGGAAAATTGCAGCATATACCACGGATATTATCTATCAATCAATCAATGGTGTGAATCAGAGGGGATTTAGAAGTGGGTGTACCCTATGGAGACTGAAAAATAAGTGGGTATACTCTGTACACCCTGCACTACACCACTGGGGCCAAGGATGATAGGGAAAGAAACTGAGAGTTGCAGTTTAATGTAAGTGAGGGACTGTTTGGCACAAAATAAAGCTGACTCAGAATCAGCTTTATTGGCCAGGTATGTTTATACATGCAAGGAATTTTACTTTGGTGAACTGTGCTCTCTAATGTATCACATTAAATATCAACAATTAAACACAAAACACACAGGTACCGGTGACTTCTCATAGGCTGAGGGTCAGTGAACACAGACTAGAGCAGGTGCATCATTAGTGAATGGGTTATAATCCAGATTTAATACACATTTCCTGCCAAGTGAGTACTTTTACTGCTGCTTATTTCAATACATTTAGGTGATTACCTTTGCCCCTTTGCCTGCTATTTTCACAGTAATGTGCTATTTTTTATTACTTTTTGTTAACACAAGTACTTCTTCCTTCTCCAACACCTATATGGAGAATAATAGGAGAGACAGCAGTTGTGTTTTGTCTGTTGAATGACATCCGAAATAGTTTGTTAAATGCGTTTACACTAACATGCAGGTTGAAAGGTCTCGTACTTTTAAAACATAGTTTCAGTTTTTAGTGTGGCACTATATTTATACAACAGACAGAATGCTGTTGTATCTGTATATTTGTTTAACTACTGGCTGTGTTTCAAGTTCAGTGAAGTAAAGTTGTGGTTTTCTTTATCTGATAGCCTATCTGTGTCTGACATACCTGTCTCTTGATGTGACGACTGACTGTGCTGTTACCTGTATTCTTGATTTAAATTCTTCACTCTACACATTTTGCAAACAATTATATTTCAATATATTTTGCAGTTGGATCAATATGTTTTTAATTTCATGTGACTAATCATGATTTAGATATTGTATACAGGATACAGTCTTCTCTTCTAGCAATGAACTTTTTTATACTTTGCAAGCTACAACAAGCATTAAACTAAAAATGTTATATTTTATTTATTATTTAATTTAAAGTGAGGGACTGTGCGTGACTAGTTTACTCTATTATTCATAAAAATGTTGCTTATGTTGTCCCTTCGGCCTGAGGCAGCTCTGCCTGTCAGACTGAGGGGGGACACGAAGGACTGTAGTACTGTAGTAGACCGCTAGGTGGCAGTAGTGTCTTATTAATAGTATGCTATACCTTCCAGCCTAACACGATTCAACACTGCCACACATATCATGACAAATGTTGTGTTTATAAATTAAAACTTTTGCATTTTGGGCAACATCAATATATAGAAAAAAAAATCCCAAAATAAAGAAACACAACTAAAGGGCCATATGAACAGAGAGGCTATATGTGTTAAAAAAAAAAAAAAACCTTAATAACTGAAGCATCCGTGGAGATTCAGTGTTGTTTTGTGTTCTGATTGTTCATATTGTGT